GGATCCCCCGGAGACCAATGGAAAACTTGAGTATGACAGTAACTAGATATGAGCTGGTTGTGGAAAGAGGTAGTTTGAAGTTGATGGGAGGAGTTTGCCGGAAAAATGAAGAGACAAATTGTGAAACTGGTGATGAAGAGCATGTGAAACCTTTTCCTGCCTCTACTACAAGTGAATCGATGAATGTCTTTCTGGCAGAGACCAGAACTCTATTACAGTAAAGCAAATATTTTAATTAATTCCTCAAGATGGTGTTAGTCAGAGCCTGTTGCTTCTGGCTATTTGGTGTGGGAATTTATTACACTAAGTGAGATATGGAAAATATCACCAACATGTTGTTAGCTGGCCTATGCACTCTGACTCAGAAAAGACTTTCTGTCTTCTGCTGAATAGACTCTACTTCTTTTCAGTACGTTATGTGCAAAGAATGTGACAAAAGTAAAAACAGAAGTAAAATGTCAAACATGACAGTCTACAGACTGAGAGTCTTCAGCCATCCGATCATCTCTGAGAGCTGCTAGCCACAGCAGTGCTATGAGTTAAATACTAACGCCATCAGCTGATGTTAGGCAGGTATTATAGCATCACAGAAAACCTGTCATGGTCATGTCACATCTCAGAAATGAACAGAAACTATACAATTTCTGTGCCAAGTTCTTATTAACTTTTACAAAGGGGCGCTAGAAAACATCCTGACTGGTACCATCACAAACTGGCATGGGATGCACCCCACCCAGGACCAGAGGACTCTACAGGGGGTGATTATAACCGCCCAGGAGATCACTGGTACTCAGCTGCCCTGCAAGTGGTATTGGCAAGATGAGCCAAAAGGATACTAAAAGACAACCCCCACCACAGCCTGTTCACCCTGCAGCCATCTGGGAAGAGGTACAGAAGCTTCTGCTGCCACAGGCGTCTATCTCTTTTGTAACAAATCTATTCAGTGGAAGAAAAGTGTTCATAGCACAATGTGTGAATTCAGTCAAAGTTGTTTGATTTCATCATTATCGGCTTTTCTGTTTCACATGCTACCATGCTGACAGTGGAACAAAGCCTCATCTTGTGTTGCAAGAGTCTATTGCATTCATTTGGGGCCAGTCAGATTAAACAGTTAATTTTCAGAATGCACCAAGCACACACATACTCTGAGCCATCAGACACATTAAGATAATGTAAACAATCTATTAATAAGTGCTTTGAAACAAGTTAGCAGCATCACTGCAACAATAGAGATTAAAACCGTGCTAAGATGATAACTGCATGTCTTACTCTTTCTGCATTGCTTTGCAGAGCAAATAGCCTATAACCACTTAAGAAACAGTGTGTACTTGAACGCCTTGTACCAACAACAGCAAGCCACCCAGCGCTAAACTGATCCTGCTTCTGTTCACGTTCTTCCAGGCATGACACCTTGCTTTGCAGAAGGGCAGAATAATAACAGGTTGTTGTTTGTCATTTCAGAAATAGAGTCTGTGTTGCAGCTGAAGCATACCAACTGGCCTGCCGTCCATGACATTTCTGAATACCACAATACATTATTGTCACTGTATGTATATGTGTTGGGGTGCCAAAATACACAAGCACAAAATGCGTTGTATCTTTATACCATATGTGAGGTATGTTTGCAATGATCCAATACATTATTTGTATTCTCTCTCTCGAATTTCTATGTGCAGCAGGTTGTTTCAAACATCTTTTGCATCTTTTTAACGTTCTGCTACTAGATCCTGTTACATTTCAGGTCCAGGGCCTTGAAGATCAGAATATTAGCTGCAGAGCACTTAGTTCAAGGTGCTGTTTATTGGTAAATTCTCTTATCATACCCAAAATTTCATGCTCAAACACATAAAGGCAGTGTTGAGAATGAGGCAGAAGCACAAGTCAGGACTGTGTGGAATGAAAAAACCTCCATTTCTGCTTCATGCGTTTAGTCATGTTAAATGACCATAAGTGTAATTCCAGTCAGCGACACAAGAGAGGCCCCCTCTCTGCCCTCCATACCACAGACTGGAGGGAGACGCCAGACCAACATACAGGAGGGAGGGGAGAGGGGGGCAGGAAGAGGGAATTTTAATGCATACTCTTTACACACACATGCACACACACACATACACACACACACATACACAGACACGAAAGCACATAGATCACATTAAAGCTTTCTGCTGACGCTCTCATTCAGATGGCTTTTTGGAAAGAGAGCAAGTATGGCATCTGTGTCTGACTTAAAGTGATATTTTGAGTGTAAACACTGACCCCCTGTAGGATTTAAGTTTGTTGTTTTGTGCTTCATGAGTAACAGCAGCTGCAGTCAGATTTAAGTGCATTGGTTGTAATGGTGACAAGTTTTAATAGCAGAAGATAAAAGTATTAAAACATCCATAGAAACTTTTCAAACCACTTCTGCAGCACAATCCGCCTTCTGCTGTTCACTATGCAAGGGTTATATGAGGTTGATACCACTCATGTCAGTCATACAGTCAACATTAAGCTGGAATCAGAAGATTAGTTTAGCTTAGCATGAAGACAAGAAGCAAGGGGAAACAGCTAGCATGGCTCTGTGCAAAAACAAAAACTTGCACCTCTAAAGATCTACTCAAGCTCCTACATAACATGTTAAATCTAATTTGTTCAATTGTTCAGTCTCCACTGGTTACCTGGCAACTGGTCCCAGCAATGAAATAGTCCATAAAACCACAACTTGTTTTGGCAGTTTGGGGACAGATTAAACAAACAAGATACAAAGTGTTAATTAGTAATGAGTTATAGAAGTGTTGATTCCATCTGGAGTTTGTGTAACACTGTACGGGGATATTCTCCCATACTTTTTGCTGAGCACTACAATACACTTCAATTGTTGTCAGTTTTCTCACTATGACCCTCTGCAGCCACCTCTCCCTGTTTTCTCCAAAGAACCCCACTCTGGTCTTTTCAAGTGGCTAATCTGACATGGTCTGGTGGTCCGGCTGCTGTATTTTGGAAAACCAGCCCAGTGCAGGGGTCAGATCCTCATCAGCTCTGATGTTTGTTTACATTCCCACACAGGGCCACCAGGGACTGACAGTGTCCATTTAAAAGTTAAACCGTGGGAAGACACAGGGCGATAAATAGCGCAGAGAGAGTGACACTGAGACTCTTTGCTCCATCTACACTGTTGGCTACGGCACTATTGGCTGTACTGTGCTGCTCTGTGCCTTTCTGTGACTGTGACCTGGATTTATACCAAACTCGTCAAAGATGCATACCACATAATTGCAACGTCCTCAGTTTGAATTTGGCTGGGGACCTTTGTTACATGACTCTCTTTCTTGCTTAAATGTTTCCTGTCTGATTCTCTTCTGTGCTCTGCTAAATAAAAGCAAAAGTGCCCATAAATAGTCTGAAAAACAAGAAAAAAAACAAGATGTCTTGCCATGCCATTGCTGTAATCAATTTCAAAGTCATGCAAACAGCAGATTTTCCAAGGTTTTTCAGTGGTGCCCCAATTGCTCTGCATGGTGTGTGGACTTACATTGGTCTAGTGTAAATAGTGCACACAAAAAAAGAAAACCTTTTATCTAAAAACTGCAGGAAAGACTGAAAAGAAAGGAGGTAAGGGGATCAATAACCTGTGAATGGTCATGATCAGTCTGATCTTTTTTCCAACAACTTGCACCACTAATCCCTTCCAGTAAGACTTCAGTCCAGTATTGATGTCTTCACAAAAAAGGCATCAATAGTCTGTGAGAAAAACATGACTTTAGATGTATAGTGACGTGACTTCTCCTTAGAACATTCCCATTTCTTGTTCGCATTCAAAAGACTCACAACTTAAAGTACAACGGTTTGTTTTGCATCATTGTAATAATTGTTGTAATTGACCTTTACAGCTTTAACAGGAAATTTTAATATTCTAAAACATAACATCTGAATGAACATTTAACCAACCGTCAACAGGTAATACCTATCACCTATGTATTCATTAACTGTGCTCCTTTTATCATTGGGAGATGCATGTTAATACGATTATTACAGCATGAGGAAAATACTGTTACGCCCTAATGGTTTATTGCATTAACAGGAAATTGTCGTTGGAACAAGTGCATTGCTTGAAAGTGGCTGTTGCAGAAGAAGAAGAGTTGCCAGTTTCCTTAATGATCACTGACATAGCTGCACCTTGAGTTTTTTGCAATATCAAATCTATTATTATTAATTTTGCATGTTCTGCCTTGAACAATAGAAAAATGTCATTGTTTTATCAAAGAGGGGACAAATGAAATTGCATTTTCAAATCAGTTAACAAAAGAGTTCCAATTATTATATATAAGTAGTTCTCCTAGCCAACACATTCACAGTCTGATAAAACTGTGGATATAATGTGTGGAGTCCTGGCTGCATTCTGCAGCTCTATTGTGCCTCTCCGTGGTCATGTATATGTAATACAATGTGGTACCCTCCAACAGAAAAACTTCATTTCCCAGATGTCCATTGTTTGTTGTCTGTCTGATTTCAGAATAAAAGCGTAAATGAAAAGTTTCTAAAGAATAAACGTCTTATTAAGTTTTGGGATGAAGAAGACGACAATATCAAATACTGTAGAATGTTTTATATTATCATTATTAGCTTAAAATCAGTAAATAATAATAATAATAATGATAGTAATACAATTAAAAATAAATTATATAATCAGCATAATGTTCATGAGGGAGTGTTTTATGGATGGGTGAATGTAGACACAGCTATTTCATAGCTCATTACTTATTCCAAAATTAAAAACAATATATTTTAAACACAAAGTGATATGACTTTCAGCGATTCAGTCCCAAAGACATATAATCAGTAAACAGGTCAAAACTGAATCGATTTAGTCCAAATGTTGAAAGCTTTGATGGCAGCCATTGAACAAATGAATCCATAAATTTGTTTAGTCTCCAGACAAAACGATGTCAATATAGGTTTTATTTTGAAGTTTTCATCGGAAGTTGTCTGTGCCCACAAAGTAAATTCTAACGCTAACTCTGGAGCCTCCTAGTCCCACCAGTGACAAATCAGAAATCCGGCCAGAGCAGTGAGTCTGTCTGGGCCTTCTGTCCTCTGTAAGACCTCAGAGCAGTCAGATCCAGGATGAGGCTGCTGCTTGTTACTGTGTTACTAACGGTGGCGCTCGCTTATTATGTTTACATCCCGCTGCCTGATGCCATCCAGGAGCCCTGGAGGTTGATGCTGCTGGATGCTGGATTCCGGGCAACGATGCACCTGGTGAGTGGGGAGATGTTTGCATTTGGGGAATAAATGCTGTGGATAGTATGAGGACTGCATCGGAAACAGATGGGTGCAGCAGGTGCGCAGCTTCAGCTGTTATTATGATTTAATATGTACAAAATCTGTTGTTTTTCCTTGTGCAAATTGTTGGCTAAAAAGTGTTATTTATAGCAGTTGTTGTGTGAAATGTGACTGTGAAATGTTAAGTTGCATGCAATGCAGCTTATATAATAGTGGCATTGAGAAGAAAGACACACCTCTTCACCTATAACACAGTAATCTAGACTGGGCAGACTGAGGTTAGACTTAGACCCTAAACCATGTATTGAAATGATATTAACCCTGAAATGCCCAACTTTGGTGTCTTTATTGATGAGGTTCAATAGGATTGTTATTGCATCAGTATTTTATGATGTATTTATTTGAAGTTGTGTATTTTCTGAGTTATAAAATCAAAAATCCGAGGCACATCTGTCTTGAACTTCCACAACATCATGTGCTGTTTATGCATTTAAGTTATGTGTAGTCTACAATGCTTCTCTTTACCAGACTGTGTCAGGCGCTTTAGTGACAGCAGGGTGAGATGTGCAAACTTTGTGAAAGAGCTTTTTCAGTGCATTTACAGTTTGATTTTGAAACTGTCACTCTCTGTCATGGTGTTAATTTGTTGCAGAATAGCCATCGGGGAGTTTATTCTGGGCATGCGTGAGGACAATATCACTCTTCACCCTCACCTTTGTTCTACATTTTGAAAATGGCACTGTAGGTGAAGAGTAATAATATCTGTTATTGCCACACTAGCTGAGGGAGCTTGAAGATTTATGTTCTACTTGTAAAGTGTAGTTTGCTTCAGTTGATACAGTTTGCACAAGTCATTTAATACTTTATTGTATCCTTCTTTTCCAAAAAAAAGGAGTGGAAAAAAACCCACTGTGATGAGATTTAAGTTCTAGTTATTCAAATATTTTACCTTAAATGTGATATTTTATAACATTTGCACAGCATATAGTTTTGAGTATGATCTATTATAGGAGAAGATGCTAAAATGGTTTTAAACTGCACTTAGATCTTTTCTTTCCTGCAGCTGAAAGGTGCAAGAATGTATCCACATATTGCAAATATAACAAAGTAATTTTAAAACTCACAAGTGTAAAGTATGTTTTTGATTATATAATACAACAACTTTATTGTCCACCCAAGTTCAAAATTGCAGCTTAAACTTTGAGTTAAATTTTTCCTTTTTTAAGTATTTTATTCCAGGTACAGTTAGCTAAAACTGTTCACTAAAATACAGCCAAAGAAATGATGCAGCAATCTCATGCAGGGCAGATATTGCCTTTATTTAAAGAGCACTCCACCTAACATTGCACTAACATTGTCAGACTCACAATTGATAGGTGCCTACATTACCCATAATGCAACTCCACTGATTTTGTTATACTAGTAATGTATTTTGTAGCACCGAGCCACCAACCTCAAGTAGAAATGAAGAGCAAAACTTGTAATCTCTGATGCTGACATCACTTGAGGCAGTTAATCAGAATTTGCACAGCTCCCCTCTGGAGCCACAAAAGGCTGTATTAAATTTTTCTTCACATAAACAGTAATCCTCCCGAAGATCTGTAAATAGACTTGTAATAAAGATGTGTGTGCAAAACCGCTGGAGTTCCCCTTTAACCTGATCAGGTTAGAATGCGACTGATTCACATTAACTACAGTTTGTGTGTCACTATCATTATAAATTTCCTCCATCAGTTACATTCATTTAGTCATGGCAGGCTGCCAACTCAGATCTTTAGCAATCCTTACCTTACATAAAAAATAATTCCAAGGGTTTACTCTCAGTGAGGTATACAGACTTTAAATTTGGTGTGAAGAGAGTTCTGGTATTGGATCAATAGTCAGTATTGATAAAAGAATATATTTTGCCGCATTTGTAGACTTTTCATCTTAAGGAAATGATAAAAAAAAAAAAAAACAAGTTCAACATGTCTCTGTGTGGCTGTCTGGTTCTGCGTCCCCACTGTGCCAAGCAGCTGTGTCTGCTGGCCTTGGCTGAGCTATTGAGACAGTCTGAGATGTTTGTGGGGAGGAGGGCAGACTTAGAAACAGTAAGATACAGTGCAGGAGGACAGAGGTGAGACAGTTGTGTCTCAAGTCTCTGCCAACATATACAAGCATTTAGTCTTTTCCCAGATTCCTTTCTGCTACCTGCTCGTTTCACTCTATTCCCCTAATGTGTCCTAAGAAACTACACTCAAGGTGGAGTTTTATTCACTCCTCCCCTCCCTTCTGTCCTCAGGCCTCTTTGAAGGCTTGGCTGGGTTTTGACCATTATATCAGGTCCCTCAGGCAGTCGATGGAGGGCTTTGATGACATGGCGCTCAGTTCTGAGTCCAGCGGAGGGGTCATGCCGGGAGTGAAAGTCAGCGACATCACTTTCGCCGGCATCCCGGTCCGTGTTTACGAGCCCCCTGCTGGAGGCGAAGGCCATCTGAGGAGAGGGTTGATGTATTTCCACGGAGGAGGCTGGGCCCTCGGCAGTGCCAGTGAGTATGGACATCCATGCTCTTTAAGTAAAATTACAGTAAAATGAGGCAGAAAAAAATTTAAATAATAAAAATTTGAAGTATATAGATTAATATAAGAATAAGATTAATTAAGGATATTTGTGAGCTTTTCTTTAATTAGCAGATTGATTTGATAGTATCTTTATTTGTATTATTAAATGTGATACGTCACATTTTATGCATTTAAGGGGGGTGTTTTGCCCAAATTCCACATGGGGAACAGGTGTAACAACTTAGTAGTAAAATTTTAACTAAGAGAGTAGATCAGTTATTTCTTTTTTTTTTCATTTAACTTTTCCTCTTTCTCTCGCTCACTTCCTTAGAGAAGGGATCATATGATACAATCAACCGGATGTTGTCCGACGAGCTCAACACCGTTGTGGTATCTGTTGAGTAAGTGTCTCTCCTCCTGCAACACTAATCTACTGTTTCAAGTTTTTTCTGCTCATAGAGAAACCAACTGTTAAAACAGAGCTACACTTTAAGAGATAAAAAAAATAACTCACCACGGATGGTATTATACATATGAACTGATCTTCATGTGTCACTTGCTTTTTAAACCACCAGTAAATCATCATTTGCAACCAATGTCTGTGTAGGTATCGTCTGTATCCGGAGGTGCACTTCCCAGTGCCGTATTTAGACTGCCTCGCTGCTGCCAAGCACTTCTTGTCCCCAAATGTTCTAGCCAGGTATGCCATCGACCCAGAGCGTGTGGCTGTGTCAGGTGACAGTGCTGGAGGAAACCTGGCTGCTGCGGTCGCTCAGGAGGTATATAAAAAAGCCATCTCTTGTAGGAATGTGTGTAAAATGTACTGTTGATATCAATCAAGACATTAAGGCCTTATATGTTTTTAAAAATTTCTCAGGTTTCAAAAGATGACACTATAAGTGTGAAATTCAGCGTTCAGGCGTTGATCTACCCCGTGCTCCAGGCTCTGGACTTCAATACGCCCTCCTACTTGCAGAACCAACACATACCCATCCTCTACCGCCCAGTCATGGTTCGCTTCTGGCTGCAGTATCTCGGTGCTGACCTCTCCCTGCAGTCCCAGTGGATGGTGAACAACCACAGCTCCTTACACCACTCAAGCATTACCCCAGAGCTGAGGGCGCGGATAGACTGGACAGTCCTCCTGCCCCCGAAATACAAGAAGAGCTACAAGCCTCTGATTGTGGAAAAGGATTCGCAGGGGTCAGCAAAGGAGCTGTCGGGGATGCTGGACGTAAGGGCAGCACCACTGTTAACAGCACCAGAGGTTTTGGCTAAATGCCCTCGGGCGTACATCCTAACATGTGAGCATGATGTGTTGAGGGATGACGGCCTGATGTACGTGCGCCGCTTACAGGACGCAGGTGTCAAAGTCTTCAGTGATCACTACGAAGATGGCTTCCACGGATGTTTCAGCTTCATAACTTGGCCATTTGAATTTGATGTAGGGAAGAGGGCACTTAGGGGTTACCTCAACTGGCTCAAGAACAACTTGTAAGAGTGTGTGTGTGTTTGTGTGTGAGTGTAAGTGTCTATATGGGTGCATGCATGTGTGTGTTCTACCAATACAAATGCACTAGTCCTTGCTTTATGAATCACATACTTTCCAAGTGCTTGTACATCTGCTCTTTGTATCATATAAAATCTAAGCTCAGGGCCCTACCTGTACATACACACACACCACCTTGGTACATATGAAGATTCTTTAAGGTTTGCAGTGGAGAAGGGCAAATATGTTCAAATTACCCTGGCTAACAATAAATACACAGCCACAAGCTTTCCACTAATGGATAAATGAATCAGCTGCTTCCACTGTGAGGAACCACATCAGTACACTTATTTTTATCCACACCACAAACACAAGAGCAGTGTATTTCACAAAGATTGTAATTGGTTTTATGCTTTTCAGGCCTATTACAAGTTAGAAACTCCTGATCACAGGCTCATGTTAGCAGTGGCAGTGTTTTTGTTTGATCTTTGTTTGATTATATGGCTCAGCAAGTTACATTTTGTCATATGTCAATGTTTGTTGTTCCATCACTGCAATATGTTGATACAGACGGTCATGACAACCAGAGAATGAACCCTAATGACTTTGGTGATCCCCTGATTTTTCCGGTATCTCGTCAACAGCCGGATGAATAGTCATGAAATTTGCCACGCACATATTCGTGGCCCTTAGAATATTATAGTAAGTAACTTTTCCCTTAACTTTTCATCCAGTGCCATAATCAGATCAAAATATGAATTAATTTCATGACCAAATACCTGCAAATCTAATGAAATTCCCATCAGCCTCAGCCATACTTTGGATTTAGCGCTAATTAACTAATGTTAGCATGCTAACACGCTAAACTAAGATGGTGAACATGCTAAACATTATCTGCTTCGCATTAGCATTTCAGTACTGTCATTGTGAGCATGCACCTCAAAGCACCTGGCTGTGGTCTCTTGTAGTGACGTCAAACATGAGACAGATGACATTTGTAAATGATATTGTATCTTTTAAATAAATATGCCGCTTCAAAAAAACCAGGCATAACGCTTTCTCAAGGTCCTTTTTTTCTAATGGGGAGTTCAGTACTTTTCTTGTGGACAGTATTGTCCTTTTACATGTATCATTCACATTGTATTCTACTTACAGGACATTCTGTGTATCTGAACCATAGTAAACTGTGAATGAAATGTTTTGTGATTTAAATGCCTGGCTAGGGATGCTTTTGCGACATGAATGAGTCACTGAAGTTGCAATTTGCATTGAGTAGCTGCAGCAAACTGAGAATCTGCAAGGGCTTCAAATACTGTAATTTTACCTCTAAATTTAACTTTCCCATCTTTTAAGCATTCCACGTGGGATGCAATTTTCCTCTGTGTCTCTGCTCTGCCCACTGTTGTGATTTATGAGGGAACTGATGAAGGGTGTCAATAAAAAAAAAACATGAAGAATGAATTGTTCTGTTCTTTTGGTGCTTAAAAATCCACTTCCAGATCCCCCGGTATGCATCTTCAGCCTGTGATGTTCAATATGCGTCATTATTTTGTAATTAGGTGTATTTTCTGTGTTTCAGTTTTCAGCAAACCTGCTTTTGCTCAACCTGCCTCATTCATGTTTCCCATAATGCATCATCCAGTAAACATAGTTATCATATGCCACCTTTAGCTTCTCCAAATTTGGAGGCTTATGTTTAAATACATTAAATACATTTTGCAATTTTTGTCAGCATCTCTGGGGATATTCTCTCCAGCCATTTTATACGTTTATAAAAGGTTCAAATTGGTTTTAGTGTTCTGCTAATCGTAAATATGAAGCGTACACAGAGGAGAAACATTTGTTCAGGTAGTCCGTAACACACACCCCTATATTTTAATATACCAGAATATGAATATCAGAGTGGTATTGATGACATAACTACTCAATAGATATTTCATGTTGCATGAGTAATCTATGTTGTTATCCCTATAGAGAATATATAAAACCCTCACATCTGCACCACCTTTCTGGGTCAAGTACCAATAATCAATGCAACACCACCCTCTAGTGGACTGAGAACCACATGAACCTTCATTGGTCTTAATCTAACACATTTGGTAATTACACATTAAAAGGAATTGGTAACAATAATCCAATAATAAAACAAATAAGTAATAAGTAATAAAACATTTATCTGCATAAAAATACTTGGATTTTGATACTTTAAGTATTGCAAGTAGGCTACATGTAACCCTCCTATAATCTATATTTGGAGTAATCCTCATAACTGCATGCCTAAATATCTTAACCTTAGTGTAACCCTAAATCTCTATTTAAAATCAAATGCTAAATTGTGTTCAGTGTTGTCTTCGCCAAACCACCCGGTTGATAGAAACAAATGATTGTGAGTTAAATATTAACCTGTGTGTATTGTCTCTGTTTCTATGCTCCCACATTCACATACAGTAGTTTCCTATCAGGGAAACACCCTTCCACAGACAAACTAACTAAGTCACTGGCAAATGTCTGTGCGCATTGTGCTGCCGTAGCATTTTTCAGCACTAGTCTTTGTTTTATAAATGAGACAATGAGCAGCTGTAGTGCTCAGACGGGAATTTAGGGAGATTCCATGACTTTACCGAGACAAACGTTGGGAGGAGAAGCCTCAGGGGAGGGAAAAAGGGAGTGGAGGACAGAGGAGGGTGGATGGAGCGTGATGTCTCCAGGGTATTATTTGAGCTCTTCACTTCAGGGGGAAACTGCTTTAATTTTCAAAGAAGCACTAGCTCTCCTTATGCTTTCCTGTTTCCAATTGTTCTCGTAACAGATTTCAGATTCAGGGTTTAGAAAATAGTTTGTTCTGAGTCACTGAGTCTAACAAGTTCATCATACTGTCTGTTCCTCACAGAGACAGACAGACGTTTTTGATGATTTTGGTGTTAACCAAAGTTATGTTGCAGTTTTAAAGTTAATGCGTGTAAAATTTTGATGAAATAAAACCCTGTTTTTGATCCTATTTGTGGTCTGCATGTTGGCAGCAAAGGCTATTTGAGTCCACCATTCCAGATTCAATTTGAAAAATAAAATCTAAAATAATAACAGAAATTGTCTGTCACATAACCCCCTATAAAACCACAACTTTTACACTTTGGTTGTTGTAAGGATTAGACAAACAAGATATAACATGCATATAGTAAGCGTAAGAGGTGTTGGTGGGCAGATTTTATTACATTTAGAGAGAGCCAGGCTGGCTGTTTTCCATGTTTCCAGTTTTTATGCGAAGCTAAGCTAACTGGCTGCTGGCTCCAGCTTTACATCACAACCATGAGAGCAATATCAATCTTCTCATTTAACTCTTGGCAAGAAAGGACAGTTTCTCAAAATGTCAAACTATTCCTTTCGGCTTTAAAATACCTGGAGGATTAAAGCCAGTTAGGGCGTGCTGCATGTGGATAGAGGTCAGAAGTCACTAGCTGATTGGACCTGAGAGAAAGAAACAATAATTGAATAGGAAAGATGTTGATTAAAAGGTTTAAACATTAAAGTATTGTAATTTTCTGCAAAATTCCGAACATACACCATCTCTCTCTCTCTCTCTCTCTCTCTCTCTCTCCCTCTCTCTTTTTGTCTGTTTGCAACGGGACTGTAGACTGGCATGTCTACAGTCCTCTCAGGGTGTCATCTTCCCTGCCTGAGGCCAGACAGTCTTCAAATATCACTTACCTTCTCTCTGACAAGCCTGGGAAGTGACTCACTTAAAGGAATCTTCTGCATTTTTAGATTTTTATCAGTAAAGAAATCAAACAAAATACTTATTTTCCTCAGGTGTTATTCACTCCTACGCCTCCAACATTTCCCTGGAATAAATGCACAAAAACACGGTAGTATCAAAGGTCGTGATACATTTGGATACCGTTGGGATTTTCCGCATACAGATGCTATTTGTCCAGTGTTTTCAGTTTAATAGAGTCCTACCAACCTGTGTGAACCCTGTATCAGCATATGCACGAGTGTGAACATGTTACACATGGGAGGGTCACGCACATCTAGGAGCTGTGAACTCCCTCAGCTCCACTCTCACTTCCTCGCACTGACAATGGAGCAGGGGTTAGAGGTGAAGGAATGAAAGTAGAGGAACCACTGGGAATCATTCAAGGTTAAGTTCTGCAGATTGAATGACTCCCTTGTGACAAATACTACTTGGCTACACTGAAGCACTAACAATGGCGGGTCATTTGGCACTAATCGGCCAGCATTCTCTCAGATCACTTCACAATAGCAGGAAAGAGAAGAAAAGGGGCCTTTTTTCATCTTACTCTTAGATGCTGATTGTCTCACATGCAACTTTCATGCAGTGATGCTGCCTTTATGTGCTGTCACTTCTGATTTTGAATGTCATACATACAACTCATCACACATTTTAAGTGTTTTTTTGATCATTTGACCGCATGACATTACAACATTGCTTCATCGCTATTAAATCAAGCCATTCAGAGGTACTTCGATCTGCAATGCAAGAAGAAAACAGGCAAATAAATTATTATTGGACATTTGCTTTAACTGCAGCTGTTTAGCTGTTAAACACCAAGAAAACACAGTAACAAGTATATTATTATTATTATTATAGAGGCACAATTGTGAAAAATTAAAGTTGGACAAAGAGAAAAGAGAAAGAAAATAGGGTTAAACCTCAAACCCTTTTACAACTCATTGTTTCCAGGGCATTCGTAATTTGCCTAAATTCAACCAACACAGTTATCTTATTCTGCCTTCAGCAGCTCCACATTCGGACTGGAAATCTGTAATACATTGCAATTCTTCTGGCAGGAAGTAAACAAACCCAGTTACAAATTGTGGCAAATGTTGGGACATTGGGATTAAAGGGGAACAAATATACTTTGAACCACAGAAAGGAGTAAACAGTATAAAACACTGAAAGACTGCTGGCCTCTATTAGCATCTGCTTCACATAACTACAGGATTTTACACGTTAAAAATGGTTAAAAGAAAAGATTAAAGCTCTGTTCCCCACATGACAGAAAACGGATCTACTTTTTATATCTGTGTTCAGTTCCTGTAAAGTAAAACATGTTTGGGTTTCTCTAAAATCTTATTTCGATCAAATATTAGTAAACCGAATGAACTTTAAACCTTTTTAAGCAAACATGGACTAAATGCCCTTAAAGTGCTAAAGAAATGTGAACTCTCTGACTGAGAAAACTCCATTAGCTGATGAAGAACAGTAACTAAATAGACCTAGAAGTAAATTTGTTTCACCATGTATACCCAGAAAATTGAATATTTAATATTTAAAGAGTAATTTTAAGGCTTAAATGATCATAAATAATGAGCTTAATAGCTTCTGATTTCTAGTGTCACACTGAGGCAACCCACGTGGTCTAAGTTGTAGTATTATCCTCTTGTTTGGGTTGCACATGCGCTCTCAACCCAGTTCAAGTTCCCACCTTTCCGACAGCGCTTGAAGGCGCCATGAAGTTGCAGCTTCTAGCTCCCAGCTCATTTCTATCTAATAACAGTGACAGGCTGTTGTAATCCTCGATACCTCCTCTCTCTCTCTCTCTCTCTCTGCTCCACCTACCTACAAACTGCAGCTCTGTTTTCCTCCCTCTCTCTTTCCCCCCTTCTCTCTCTCTCTTCTCTCTCTCCCTCCAGAGCCGAGGAACCAGCAGAGCTTGATCTGACTTGTCCTCCCTGCTTGTGGAAGTGTTTTCCTTGCTCCTCGGAACTTATTTTGGGGTTTGCCACACTCACGCTGTGATATGGCCATTTGTGTTTCTCTCCAGTGTCTGGGGCTCATCCTACTCACAGCAATCCTCCTGCAGACCATCGCGGTTGCCGTCAGTTTTATGTACTTCAACAAAGTCCTGAGCACGGTAAGATTGTGTGTGTTTGTCTTCCCCTTCATCTAACACAGAATGACAGCAGAACCAAACCCGACTGCCAGATAACTGGGGTGGGAAAGGGGGAGGTTTGACACACACTTTACTGATGATAAATCATAGCTTTACTTCATAGCCATTCATTTCACAGGGAAACCATACCAGTGGCACAGTTTTATGTCTCCATGCAAGATAGGGAATAAAACATTACAAATAACACTTATTTAGCACCCAAGACATTAGACCTAACCTGAACAGTGAGGAGAGGCCTTATAAAATCTCATAAGATAAATTATGGCATGAAGTTGCCAATGTCAACTTGAATAATCTACAGACACACTTTGTTACTCTTTCAGGGATTGGCTACTGCAGGATTAATATGCAAATGCATGTGGTGGCATGAAGTAAAAAGTCCCAGTTATGCAAGAATTTCTGCCTTTCTAAAGCTGCACAATGAGAGAGGAGAAAGTTGGCAGAGTAGATAACAGAACACAATGGCAGGAAATGAGACTAGTTAGGAGTCAGGAGGGTTGTGACACCCTAAAGCAACAAGTTTCAGGCATTCGAGCAGATATT